GGGATCCATCTCAACCCCATGGGTTCCATCCCAACCCCATGGGATCCATCCCAACCCCATGGGATCCCTGCCCCATAGGATCCATCCCAGCCCCATTGGTTCCATCCCAGCCCCATAGGATCCATATCAACCCAATGGGATCCATCCCAGCCCCATAGAATCCATCCCAGCCCCATAGGATCCCAACCTCATGGGATCCATCCCAACCCCATGGGATCCCTGCCCCATAGGATCCATCCCAGCCCCATTGGATCCATCCCAGCCCCATAGGATCCATATCAACCCAATGGGATCCATCCCAGCCCCACAGAATCCATCCCAGCCCCATAGGTTCCCAACCTCATGGGGATCCATCCCAACCCCATGGGATCCCTGCCCCATAGGATCCATCCCAGCCCCATTGGATCCATCCCAGCCCCATAGGATCCCAACCTCATGGGATCCATCTCAACCCCATGGGATCCATCCCAGCCCCATGGGATCCATCTCAACCCCATGGGTTCCATCCCAACCCCATGGGATCCCTGCCCCATAGGATCCATCCCAGCCCCATTGGTTCCATCCCAGCCCCATAGGATCCATATCAACCCAATGGGATCCATCCCAGCCCCATAGAATCCATCCCAGCCCCATAGGATCCCAACCTCATGGGATCCATCTCAACCCCATGGGATCCCTGCCCCATAGGATCCATCTCAGCCCCATTGGATCCATCCCAGCCCCATAGGATCCCAACCTCATGGGATCCATCTCAACCCCATGGGATCCCAGCCCCATAGGATCCCCCCCAGCCCCACGGATGCCCCCCTACCGACGCTGGCTCCGCTCTCCTCCCTCATCCTGGCTCGGACGCAGGCACGGATCTCCAACCCGATGGCTTTGGCGAGGGGCGGCGGCACGGCGTTCCCCACCTGCGGGCAGCCGGCGGCCCTATAAGGGCTGTGGGGCGGCGGCGGCGCCGTGGGGCAGAAGCTACGGGGGGGGTTTTGGGGCGGGGGGTCCAAACCTGTCGGTGTTTGTCCAGGATGTTCCCAAAGAGGCGATAGGTGTCGGGGAAGCCCTGCGAGCGCGCGCACTCACGGACGCTCACCACGCGGTGCTGCTCGGGGTGAAGGACGCGGCCCTACGGGGGGAAACCCCAAAGATGTGGGGAGAGGAAAAAGATCCCGAGGAAATGGGGGGAGAAAAGAAACCGGGTGAAAGGAATCGGGGAGGGAAAAAGAAAGAAAGGAAAGGGAAAAGGAAAGAAATCTCCCAAAAGTGGAAGGGGAAAAAATCGCGAGTGAATGGGGAGAGGAAGGAAAGCCCAAAGAAATGGGGAGAGGAAGGAAATCCCAAAGAAATGGGGAGAGGAAGGGAACCCCAAAGAAATGGGGAGAGGAAGGAAAGCCCAAAGATAGGAGGGGAGAAAAGAAACTCAATGATGAAATTGGGAAGGGAAAAACAAAGACGGGAAAGGGAAAAAGAAAAAATCCCCCAAAAATGGAAGAGGAAAAAATCCCAAGTGAATGGGGAGAGGAAGGAAATCCCAAAGAAATGGGGAGAGGAAGGGAACCCCAAAGAAATGGGGGGAGAAAAGAAACCGAATGAACGAAATTGGGAAGGGAAAAAGAAAGAAAGGAAAGGGAAAAGGAAGGAAATCTCCCAAAAATGGAAGAGGAAAAAATCGCGAGTGAATGGGGAGAGGAAGGAAAGCCCAAAGAAATGGGGAGAGGAAGGGAACCCAAAGAAATGGGGAGAGGAAGGAAAGCCCAAAGATAGGAGGGGAGAAAAGAAACCGGGTGAAAGGAATCGGGAAGGGAAAAACAAAGAAAGGAAAGGGAAAAGGAAAAAATCCCCCAAAAATGAAAGAGGAAAAAATCCCAAAAGAATGGGGTCAGGGTCAGGGGCCCGGGGTCAAAGGTGAAAGGTCAGGGCCCACCTGTTTGTCCATGGGCTCGGGGTTGGTTTAGGCTCAGGTCAGGTCAGGGTCGGGAGCAGCATTGGGGTCAGGGCTAGGGTCAGGATCAGGGGTCAGGATTAGGGTTAGTGTTCGGGTCAAAGATCAGGGGTCAACGGTCAGGGGTCAACGGTCAGGGGTCAATGGTCAGGGGTCAAAGGTCAGGACCAACCTGCTTGTCCACAGGCTCAGTGTTGGTTTAGGCTCAGGTCAGGTCAGGGTCGGGAGCAGCATTGGGATCAGGATTAGGGCCAGGGTTAGGGTGAAAGGCCAGGGGTCAAAGGTGAAAGGTCAGGGCCCACCTGCTTGCCCATGGGCTCGGGGTTGGTGACGGTGGTGCTGAAGAAGCCGTCCCACTCGAGGCGGCCGTAGAGCCCGGCCCAGTGGTTGTGGCGATTGCCGGTGTGGGGCAAACACCACGGGATCAAGGTGTTGAACTGCCGGTCTGCGGGGTCACAGGGTTTGCCTGGGGGGGGGGG